ATTTATTTGTTTATTGGTTGGTTTATTTTTGTAAATTACTCATGAGCTAAAGTTGATGATTAGTGGAAGAGGGAATGAAGCAATGTATTTATAATTTTGTTTTGTTAGATAAATATTTAAGCTATCAGGTCCCAAAAAACAGGAATGTAAATGCGAGACCATAATCTTCTAAGTATGGGATATTTGTGTTACGAGCAATCATTAAAAGATATAAAAAATATAAAGCAAGACAGAAATGAGACTGAAAATAGAGCTTTACTATGTTAGTACAATATAATATGCTGAAGGCTTCAGTTGCTGGAACAAAAGTATTTGGTAAAGTTGTTTTGCCTATTTATTAGAAGGTTAGAGTATTCTCGGGCAAAACTGTTTTGTTTTGTTTTATTTCTACTTTATCTTTTTTGGCAGCTTTCAAATTATGTGCATATTAAAATGATATTGGCAGTATTTATGATCATGCTTAGGATGATAAAAATAATTTTTAGGCTGAATTAAGCTTTTGCTGAGTTAATGCTGGGTAAAGATTGTCTAGGAGGCGACTTAGATAACATGAGTTAATGGGATGAATGTGTGGAAATTGATAAATAATCATGTTATAAATAAGACGATCCCATATGAGAAGTTGGGAATGATATGTTCTATGTATTAAGAAAAATATGTACAAATTTATGCCTAGATAAGATTTGTGAAAATTTATTGGTAATTTTTGGTATGCTGAATTGTTCCGTTGCTTTAAGCAATCCATCTTTGTTTATTTGTTTGTGTGTTTGCTCGGAAACCAATAAAGAAACTATTTAAAAAACAAACAAACAGTATTAAAACTCAATAAAGTTACTACCTAGAGAAAATATATTGTTCTTACAAATGTAGGGACATTACAAATAGTCCAAAAAAAGAAATTCAATTGAAATATACAGTATTTAGTACTGTTTAAAGCCTGTTGAGTTTAGGACTTAACATAAGGACTAGAAAAATGCTTTCCAAAAACACAAGAGCAGAGATCTCTTAGGATGACCAGCTCTGAACCCACTGTGAAACTCTTCACACAGATGGCTATCCTAAACAGGTCCACTCAGGGTAAGTCCCATTTTACTCAATAGAGATTACTTCCAGGAAAGTGTTCTTAGGACTGTAGTCATTGTCTCTGCTTTCATGACTTTAGAAAATACACAAAGCACTGGGAAGTGAACAAGTAATAATTATATGTGGTTGTGGACAGGTGGGATTCCATTTTAGTACTTGAGGGGGGTTCAGCTAAATGTACATATATATAGTAGTGTTATAAGACCATAGGAGAAACACAGAGTTTCACACAGGTTTGGATTTTATTTTTGAGCAATTATAGTGGCAAGATTATATTCCTAAACTAACAGTACTTTATTATAGAGAAAAGGAAAAATAGCAATTTTAGGTGATAACTCACCAATAAATCTGCCTTTTCACTGCAATCATTTAAATCACAGGAGTGGTATAATAAACAAACAAACAGCTTTACAAACAGTTGTACAGAGTTATATGGCAATCTTTATGGGAGTGTCAATATAGAAGTCAAGCTTCCTTTAAAGATAATTACAAGGATTTTAAAAGGTTGGACGGGATCTTGTAAAGCAATTCCCCAACATGTTGCAAATGCTAAAGAACAAATTGTATGCTGTATAGACAAAAAACTTATGTGGCTAGTGACTGTTTAAGTGAGAAGCATAGCTCTTTTCAATCCATGGAAATGTCACCTTAGTTAAGATAACTGCTATGTTATTTTTTAAAAAAAGATTCAGTGTATAAGAAGAATATGTTGATTTCACCTGTAATCATGGAGTTCCACACCAAGATTAATTTGCTGACTTTCAAGACAGCTTTGGAGACTTCTTTCTCAAAAGTTTCTATTTTTATACCAATTATTCCAAACAAGTTTGTTAAAAACTCAAGATAATTGAACAGCAAGAGCACCCTGCTGAAAGTCTACATATGAGTCTCATAGGAGGTGAAAAGGTATCTTTCTCATTTTCTAAAAGAACTACATACATCCCCCTTCATTTAAACACAACATGATACCTTAATTAATTATGACAAACTGGTTACTAAGGTGCTTTCATGTTGTTATTCCCATGATATAATATTGGTTGCTATGGTGATGAGATGGCTTTTTTTGGTTAATCACTCAGGAGACTGGTTAACTCATGTTTGTTAAGACAAGAGATAAAATAAGTTGAATACCAATTCCTAAACACACCAGCCATCTCCTTTTCCCTTGGTTTTAGCAGAGATGCTAATTTTTCAAAGTCATACTGAAAATAAGTTATAGCAAAAATAGTCTACAAACATGCAGCAGCAGAGGATATACAATCATTTTCCTTAGACTACATACTTCATTGTTATTTCCACTACTAAAATTAGGAAATTCTTTTCCTTCTACCCGTATAAATATATGACCTTGTTGCATTTTGGTCAGCAGAGGTAGTGGTGCTGTGCCACCACTACCTCAAAATCATTTGTTTTGAGGGTTGGATCAAACACAAATGTTACTTTGTTGGGCCAGGCCATGCATGCCTTAAAATGTAATTACAGGAACTGGGGATATAAACTTTACAAAGGACACAGGCAAACCCAATTAACAATATTAGTTTTTACTCAAAATACAAACAAAAGCAATTGATTCCTAGCAGTGAAAGCAATTGATTTACTGGGGAACCCACAAAAGCCCCAATATATATATATATTTAGTCATATGCAAGATTAGCTTTTCCCTCAAGGGATACCACAAAAGGGGGGGGGGGTATCTTACAAAGTGCCATACAAATTAGCTACTTTTTGCATATATAGCACTTTTAGGAGATGAGTCACTGTCCGTGCAAGTAAGTAAGGTATTTTTTCAGGACCTCCCCATACACCTAGCCACAGCAGCCGAGCACGACTACAATTCATCTCTCGCTCTTTGTTTCCTCTCTTTCCCCATCCTGCCTCTAAGGATCTTGAGGAGGCACACTGGACTCCCCCTTCCCCCATCCTCTCCACCAACCCTGTAAGGTGGCTCAGGCTGGGTGACTAGCTCTGGGTGACCCAGATGACAGGGTCCTTGCTTAAGAGGAGGGGAGGGGTCTCAACCAAGCTCTTTCAGACTTTCCCCACCCCCAGTTCTCATCCCACCTACGTTCCCCACAGAAGTGGTGGGGCTGAGGGAAGGCTTGATGGAGAGGCTGTTTCCAAAACCTTCAGGGGGCACTTTTTGTCCTCCTGTGATCCCTTTACCCTCATGGGCTGAGAACAGGTGGGAGGGAGAAGGGAGGTCACCGTCTCCTATCTGCACCAACACTCGCTCTGCCTCCTGGCTCTGTGACTGTTCAGACATGCAGCAGTGACACCAGTGCCCCTACTTCTCTTCACTCCTCCACTCGCTTCCAAGGCTGGGAGGTCTTTTCCCCTCAGAGCGGCACACACAAGAATGCCCAGTTGCCCTCCTTCTTCTCTCTTCCCAGCTGGCCCTGTCTCTTCGCCAGCTAAGTGCTGCTCCATGCACCCACTCTCACCAAACCCCCTCACAGTCACCATCTGAAAAAAACCACAAAGCTGGTTGGTGCAACAGTGGCAGTGCAGTTTTTGAGAACTGCAATCAGAGTAGGTGAGAGGGGAAAAGACGCCACACCTCCTCTTTCTCCGCCTTTGCTTCCATTCCCTCCACACTAATTTAATTTAGCTTCTTAGCCCCACCTCCTAGCCCTTTCCTTTCTACTTCTTGACAGCTTTGACCACACCCCTCCCTACCATGTGTGCCTGCTCGCACCCCCAAGCAGCCTCCCCTCCCTCACACTAGTTGTTCGCAGGCCGGGTAAGAGCCCTGGATGGGTCGGATCTGGCCCCCAGGGCCTTATGTTTGACACCACTGAATAGTTTCCATTTTTTGAATAAATTATTTGTACTCAAAGCTGCAGCACAGTAGATTATTGTCAGTGATTATGAAGACAGAATGGAAGGTTTGTTTCACTTACCGTGAAATCTCCCTTCTCTGTAGTCTTGGGGTGGGGCAGTCTGCCTCTAGGGAGGAGCTTCTTCCCACAAGTTCAGACTGCCCTACATATCAGACCACCAGAGAATCCAAATGTTCTCATGTCCAACTATGTGGATACAGAAAATCTGGCAAAAACATAGGTAAAAGATGCAATCCCTCTCTGGTTTGCACACAACCCTCACTGAAAATAAAGACATTAGCCCAACAGCAGTGCTTGATGGATTTCACCCAGAATATAACCACTCATTCCATTATGTGAAAATCCTAAAATCTTCCATTGCTGTAGCACTTTACACTGAAACTTAATTGGCATATAACAACACCTTGAACAGATTTACAAATATCTTTGTAAATACTTTTAATCATGCTTTTAGATATTCTAATAAAGAAAACAACTACTCTCTCTCAAAGACTAAAATGTTACACATACAAAAAGGAACGGTGGGGCTACACAATACAAACACCCCCCCCCCACTTAGGACTGAAAGTGAACAGTATGCTATTTCACATGAGAAGTCATCTATTGCAGAGGTCTAATGACACGGTTTATGATGCATATTATCCATTGGCAAATAGAGGCCAAATAGTGCCATAATGCCTAGGCCTTCCTTGCTCTGAACTGCAAATATCAGGAGCAGCTTGTTTATATGGGGAGCAACTGAGTTCAAATGTCAGAGCTGGTCAAGAGTTCCCCTTCCAGAATGGGTTGCTTTGGCCCAGTTTTTGCAATATATGAAAGTTCTTTGACAATGCACGACAAAGGACAACTGCTGCACAAAGACTAGATCATTCATTCAAGCATGGTCCCAGGAGGTATATTAAAGCAATGAATAGGAAAAAGCTCAGTAGTTCACCAGCTGAGTTTCTAATGAGATATTTCCCCTTGCTGTGGTACAGGTTTTGCGGAGGAAAGAGAAAAGGCTGCTCTCTAAATATATTCAGTTAATAGGCGCCAATAGCTTTTACAGCCACGACAGTAGCTGATCACGGCACTAACCTTCTATTTTTGCATAATCCGTAAGCCGAGTGTAATTGATCAAGGCTGCTTTCTCCAGACTTTTTCTAACCACTTTCTTCACATCTTCTGCTGGTATGGGAGTAGCAATATCTTTCATTAAGACCTGTGCCAAAGAAAGCCAAACCTACTTGGTTAGATGTGTTACCATAACCCATTCAGGGGAAGACACAAACACACATTTATTTTAAATTTGCTAGTAACAAGTGGTTAATCAACTACCTAATTTGGAGATTCAACTTCAAATACTTGTTTAGTTCATAAGGAGTAAGGCCTGGTTCACCCATACAGGACAACATGGGTGGCAGAGCCTTGTGGTGACAGAATTGACTAAACCACTGAAGAGTACAGGTGGTAGATTCCAGCTCTGAGTGTTCTTTTGCATTTAAAAAAAATCCTCCCAACAAATGGAAAACTAACACCACACGGTGAAAAATTCTACCTTCTCTCTTTGCTTGATCTGCTGTTTTTAAAATTTGTTTGTTTGTAGAGAGTTTTACATATAGGGGAAGTTTCTATGATCCTCCATTTGAAGTATGGAATGGTGCAGTCCATTCTACCACCTCAGTTCTCTATCAGCTCATTCTCCTGCATGTGTGAAACAGGTATTAGTCTTGCTTACTAACAGACTGCTGTGCCTGCCACTTTTCCAACACAAAGCCTCAAACTAAAATGGTAAGTATTTAGACAGTAAATTATGTATTTGGAGTGCTTCACAATTATCTTAGGCATCCCAGATCTAGGTTTGGAATACCTAAAGATTTAGGGGGTGGAGCTTGAGGAGGGTGTGGTCTAGGGAGGGGAGGGACTTCAAAGGGGTATAGTGCCATAGAGTCCACCTTCCAAAGTGTCCATTTTCTCCAAGTGAATTTATTTATTTATTTCAGCTTACTACCCCGCTCTAACACCCTAAGGGGTCTCTGAGTGGCTACAGTTACTCATTTATCCCTAACCTATGGCCACAATTATTAGGGGTGGGGACAATCCCTACCGGCACCCAGTGGAGGGGTTTTTCTCCCAGGTCGGCTACGTCGACTTCGGCGTCACTCGGCTTCTGGCTCCTTTCTGGCAGTCTTTCAGTGGCGGATTGGTCAGGCCCTTCTGTCACGCGGCATGCTCCGGCGCGGCCTTGGCTCAGTCCTCGCGGCTCCACCCCGCCTGCGCCGTCCACGCTCGCGTGTCGTCCTGGCTCTGCCTCTCCACCGATGTCTGTTCCGCCTCCGATGTACCCGGATGCCATCTTCGCCGCTCGCCGCTTTCGCCGTCTACCGGGCTCCAACGCTCCAACGACCCCCACAGCGGGGGAGAGTGCCCCCTACCTTCTAAGGTAGGTTCCCATTTATCTACTTGCGCATTTTTGATGTTAGTTGGCGCGTTCGAACCGCTGGGTTAGCGGGAGCTGGGACAAGGGCCAGGTGCTCACTCTGGCCGCGGCGGGTTTCGAACAGCTGTAACAGCTGTTCGTGGATGTTATTATTAGCAGGCGTCTAACCGCCTGCGCCACCGCTCCCTCCCGATATCTGTCACCAGGTGATCTTCACCTACCACCTGGAGGTTGGCAACTGTGATGGCTATGGGGGAAGGCTCTGAGGCAAGGGCCTTCTGGATTGAAGACTATCCAGTCCCACACTCTGGCCTCTCCTATAAATTCTTTATACCCCAATCGCCCACAATCAAATAAAAAAGGAGACACAAGCTTTAAAATAAAGATGGGTAGCATGTAAGTTATATGTTCCCAAAGGTCTCTTATTTACAAATCTGGTAAACTATATGTGATAGAAATCAAGACCACCACATCTTGATTTTTGACTTGACAGAAAAGACACAGATGGAGATGAACAACAAAGGTTTGTTTAAAACAAAATAAAGTATGTAATAAGGTAAATATGATGTGTGGATAACTTAGATATAGTAAGATAGATTAAGGTGGGTAGCTGTGTTGGTTTGAAGCAGAAGAACAAAGTTTGAGTCCAGTGGCACCTGTATGACCAACAAAATTTTACTCTGGGTATAAGCTTTCATGTGCACGCACACTTCTTCAGATACTTGAAACAGAAATCACCAACCATTGCATATAGGTAGTGGGTGAGGAGAATCTTGCCAACAGACAGCCCCACAATCTTAAACAACTCCTCGACCACAATAATGCAACATCTAATTTGAACGTGGACAACTGGGACCAGAGCTTGCAATAAACCCAGATGCCAACTTTCCTGCCATATACACCCAGACAACACAATAACTGGACCTAACAACATCAACTACACAATCTCAGGCTCATTCACTTGCTCATCTTCTAACACTGTATATGCCAGTATACACCAACAGTGCCCTTCAGTTCTCGACACAGGGCAAACAGGTCAAATCCTATGCTAAAGGATAAATGGACACAAATCTGACATCAAGAATCACAAAACTTCAAAGCAGCTGTTTTATTGCAAAGGAACTTCAGAAACAGACTAGAATTGGAGACTGCTGAGTTACAAGTTAGTAGAACACTCTGGACAACAGAACCCCTAGGGCTTAACAGAGACACTGATTTCATATCTCACTACACATACTAACATCATTCAGTTTTCCTGTCCGTTTGTTAGCTCCTTTATTAGGCTGTATACTAATTTGCTGCTATTCAAAGGTCTTACTAATTGCCTCCATCTAGTCTTAGCTATATTTACTGCTCAGTTACTTATGCATTTTGACTGTAATTGGCCCTTCCGGGCTGCATCCTCCTCACCCTCTACCTATATGTAATGACTGGTGACTTCTGTTTCAATGTATCTGAAGATGTGTGCGTGTATGTAAAAGCTGATGCCCAGAATAAAATTTTGTTGGTCTTAAAGGTGCCACTGGACTAAAACATAAATATATAAAGTTGGGTCTGAAATGAAGTAAATAACCCCAAGGGGAGATTTGATTCCCCTTACTCTGGACAGGGTACTTCAGCAGGTTCAAGGCTGTTCTTTTCTTTCACAAAGCATCTTATCACAGAACCTACACACACCAGTTTCTTCCCTAAACTGACCTCCAAACCCTAACAAAAAAGCCGAATAAAAGCCTGGCTAAACTGAGCCATAAAAGCCCAAACCCAAAAGTTAAAAAAAAAGTTTCTTCACCCTTCTTAATCTGAGGCTGCCTCACTCTCTCTCATCCAGTGGAGTTCCATGGGCTCTGATTGGCTGACAATCACTTGGATTTGCATGAGGCCTAAATCAAAAGGATTGGTTCAGAGTCCGGGAAGACAGGTGGGACTTTTAAGGATAATTGCCACAGTAACCCTATACACAGTAGCCAGTAAGAGTCTCAAATTACATGTAAGGGATTGAGGCTGAGACAAATTGGATGCAGTTGCTGATTAAGATCAGATAAGATTTGATGCATTCTGATGAAGCTGGTGGTTGCCTACCAAAGCTCCTGTCAATTATCACCCTGAGCCCATCAATTTCACCATGAATCTGAAGAAGCGAGGTCTGCCTCATGAACACTTATATTGGAATAAAGTTTGCTAGTCTTTAAACTGCCACATGATTTCAGTTTTTTTCCTATCAAAATAGCAAGAGGCAAATATTTTAAATGAACACACACATCTGTTAGTCTCTAAGGTCCCACAAAACTCTCAATTTTAGTTGCATATAGTAATAAATGGAAATAAAGGAGTAAAGCTCCCAAAACTTTTATACTTGAGTGCTCTGACAGAAGTCAGCAGTCATATTCAAACTCTTTGAGATCTGTCCAAAATGTATACACTAAGATTCAATGCAACAGGCTGCACATGGACAGTAGTGCAAGGAGGAACTTTGACAGAGGTATTATTTTGTTCTAAAAAGGCTCTATAGCCTTCATGGGTGGCTATAACAATGCTAAACATAAACATAAATTGCCGCTCGGGCCTCGTTGCTGTCTTCCCCCCCCCAAGCGGCGGCGGCGACGGAGTTCGCAGAGCATTCCCTGCGCATGCGCAGGGGACGCTCTATCACTTTTGGGGGGATTTAAGTTTCCCCCTGATATTTTTTCCCGGTTTTTTAGATTTTTGTGCACACCTGGGGACTGCCCCAAGTGTGCGCAAAAATCTCCCTCCCCCCCAGGTGCCCCTGATGCACGGATTTAGGTATCCGCACGCACGGGGGCGACTTCGCTATTAGTATATAGATGTATCGCCCAGTTTGGTTCAGTCCCTCAGGAGCCTCCTAATGACAATGTCCATGTACCAGGCTATACTTGTATTGAATCCTCACATGAACTCTTTGAGATACAAGATTAAACATTTCATTCCTAGAGCCTGGATCAGAGACCAAAGTCATCTGGTAGACTACATGGCTAGCCTTTAGTCTATGCCTCTTAAAACCAAGTTTAAACTGATCAGCTAGTGCACTGTACTGTTCTTTCTGACCTCCCTCAGAACGTTTCTAATTCTACAAGTTACCTCACAAAGGTTCGGAGCAGAGTGGGAAAAAATGCAACAATTCCCATTACAGCTTGCCATTGCAGTTTGTCCCTTAAATTCTCACTTTATACTTCAAGGTGCTATTGAGATAAATAAGTTAAATTATTTTTAGAAAGCAAACTGAAACTTTGAACTTTATGTATTGCTATATACTTGCAGAGAGAAGTAAGCTTATTATCAATACAGCAATTTTAAAGGTTTTCTTTAAAAAAACAACAACATTTTTTCATTCTTTTCATTGTAAATTCCCTCATACAAATACAGCTGTAAGGATACCCACCTTGTTGGCTTAAAAAAAACAACAGTGAAAATATTGGATGCAAGTTCTGCTCAATTTTCATTAAATAGGTGTTTTAAAAACACACGGGGGGGGGGGAATCTGAGTAACAGATCATCAAAGCAGAAGAATACATGCCTTTGTTCAGTACTAAAACCAGACATTTTCCCCAGTCTGAAATAAAACTAAGACATACCCTTTCAAGTAATGAAAGTGTAGCTTTTAAAGCTCCTTCTGGACGCCCAAAAGGGAAACAGTACCTTAAAGAATGACAAAATACACTTTATTAGATGAATCTGCATGAAGAACATTAGCTATATTTATTATTATTTTCAACTTTGGAGAAGAAATTACATAAAGTAGCGGCAGAAAACGACCATTGGTCACTTACCGTGAGGGGTCCTTCTCCTCTGAGTAAAGGAGGACATCTGCATGGGTTATTCCCACCGTGCCAATAGGGAGGCAGGAAGAAGTTTTTTTTCCCTTTCCTGTTGGCGCCTTCGGAATAGCCCCTTCTTAGTTCTGGGACTCCGAAAGCTGTGTGCATAGCCTGAAGTGCGAAATCTTGCCCTATAACTATGAACGTTAACTCAAACAGAGAACAACATGTGAAAACAGCATGCGAAAAAACAAGGCAGACTGAAGATTAGTCAAGAGAAGAGACCAGCACAGATAGAACTTCAGAAACAACTCAGAAAGATGACAGGGAGGGCCCAGATGTCCTCCTTTACTCAGAGGAGAAGGACCCCTCACGGTAAGTGACCAATGGTCATTCTCCCTCTGAGTCGGAGGACATCTGCATGGGACCTCCCCGAGCTGTGTCCCTTAATTGGGTGGGATGTCATCTTCCTCTAACGAAATTGCGTGCTGTAACACTCTTCTCCCGAAGGCTGCGTCCGATGAGGACATGGTGTGTAGCTTATAGTGCCTTGTGAAGGTCGAAATGGAGGACCACGTTGCTGCCCTGCAAACTTCCTCCACTGATGATCGATTCAGGAAAGCCGCATTGGTGGACGCACTCCTAAGGGAATGTGCCGTGATGCCACTGGGAGGATCACATCCAGCTGCTTTGTAAGCTTCCCTGATACATGCTTTCAGTGTGGAACTGATTGCTGATCTGGACATCCTTTCGCCCCTACGAGGTGAGGAGATGTTAATAAACAGGGAATCGGACCTTCTGAGTGACTCTGTCCTGGCTAAATAGATCTTTAGCGCTCTTCTGACGTCCAGGGTGTGCCAGAGGTGTTCTTTGGGATGTTTGGGATCAGGACAGAATGTGGGTAGACATATTTCCTGCGTCCTGTGGAACCTCGAATCTACCTTCGGTCGAAAGGTAGGGTCGGTAAGCAGAACCACCTTATCCTTGTGGAAGGTACAACAAGAAGACTTGATGGACAACGCACCTAGCTCAGAAACTCTTCGCGCTGAAGTGATGGCAACCAGAAACAAAGTCTTCATACGTAACCATCTCAAATCAACCTCCCTGGAAGGTTCAAACGGACTCTTCATTAAGGCATTAAGAACAAGGTTCAATTTCCAAGTGGGGAACCTGTGGACCTGAGGTGGAGCCGTGGCGGTTGCCCCTAGAAGAAACGAACAAATGTGAGGGTGTTTGGAGAGTTTGATGCCCTCAATCTCTGGAAAGACCGTAGCTATTGCGGCTAGCTGTCGGCGCAACGTGGAAGCTCGCAGTCCCGAATCCAGGCCCTCCTGGAGAAAGGACAATAGAGAAGGTATCGTAGGTGAAAGAGGATCGAATTTCTTCCGTCGACACCATCGAACAAAAGCTTTCCAAGTACAGTTGTAAATGCGAATTGTTGATCTTCTCCTGGAAGCCAAGATTGTCTCTATAACTCGCTCCGAGAACCCCGCTTCTACTAATCTTTTCCGCTCAATCTCCACGCGGTCAAAGCCAACCAAGCCGGGTCTGGATGCCAAATTGGTCCCTGCGATATCATGTCCGGGGATATCGGAAGGGTTAACGGAGGTGCCACGGACATCTTCTGTAGTGTTGAGAACCATGGACGTCTGGCCCATCGAGGAGCTATCAAGATCACCTCTGCTCCGAGAAACCTGATTCTGCGCAAAGTTCTGGATAGCAGAACAAACGGGGGAAATGCATAAAGTAACCCCGGCGGCCATGGAGTCGTGAAGGCGTCCACTCCTTCCGCGTCCTTGTGGTAATATCTGGTGAAGAACCTCTGAATTTTGCGGTTGTCTGGTGCTGCAAATAGGTCCAACTGTGGTTGACCGAAATGATTCACTATCATGTGAAATAAGTCGGAGTGTAGAGACCATTCCCCCTCTTGCAACACCTGTCTGCTGAGCCAGTCCGCCTGCACGTTTTCGGACCCCCTGATGTGCTCCGCTCGTAGCGATGCGATGTTTTTCTCTGACCAAACCAGGATCTTTGTGGCCTCCTTGTGTAGTCGACAGGAGCGGGATCCTCCTTGTTTGTTGATATGGGCCTTTGCTGCTATGTTGTCCGTCCTTACGAGGACATGTTGATTCTGTAGAAGGTGTGAGAAATGGTTCAACGCCAGGAAGATTGCCCGTATCTCCAGAAGATTGATTGGAAGGGCCGATTCGAACTTGTTCCAAACTCCCTGGACTGGAATGTTTTCCAACGTGGCCCCCCATCCGGAAAGACTGGCATCTGTGAAGACTTCTCTGACCTGGTTGACTAAGTAAGGCTTCCCCGAAGTCATGTTGGGTATGTGCATCCACCATCGTAGACTGTGTTTGACCGCTAGCGGTACCAGTACATTCATTTGTCTTCGTAACATAATGTTGCGTTGGTGAGGGCGTAGAAACAGCTGCAGAGGTCTCGCATGCATTCTGCCCCACTGTACCATGTCTATACCTGCAATCATCAGTCCTAGCAGGCTGGCCAAGTCCATCAGTGGGGATGACCTGCTCTGGTAAACCCTCGTAGCTCCGGCTTTGATTTTCTGCGCCTTGTCCCTTGGGAGAAATAGAGCTGACCGAGTGGTGTCGATAACTGCTCCAAGATGTTCGATACGTTGTTTCGGTTGAAGTGAACTCTTGACGATGTTTATTAAGAATCCGTGGTTGCGTAAACAGAGTATAGTCTCTTGTGTGCTGCGGATCGATTCCTGACGCGTACTGGCCCGCACTAGAAGGTCGTCCAAATAGGGGTGCACATGTACTCCCAGTCCCCGGAGGTGGCTCACTATGTTGACAAGTAGTTTGGTGAAGAGCCGGGGGGCCGTCGAAAGACCGAAAGGAAGTGCTCGATACTGGAAGTGGTCTCCATAAATGCAGAACCGAAGGTATTGTTTGTGAGCCGCGTGGATTGGAACATGGAGGTACGCTTCTGTGAGGTCTATTGAAGTCAAAAACTCGTTGGGCGATAGACAATCTGCTACGGCTTTTAGTGTTTCCATACGGAAGTGTCTCAATCGAATGAACTTGTTCAAATATTTGAGGTCCAGGATTGCTCGCCAGTCCTTGTTCTTTTTTGGGACTACGAACAGAATTGAGTAAACGCCGTGGTGTCGTTGTTCGGAAGGGACTGGTTCTATGGCCTTGATGTCCAGTAAATGCTGGATGGCCCCTTTTATGATACGTCGCTTTTCTGGGTTTTTGCTTGCCGGTGATTGTAGGAACCGATGAGGTGGATGTTGGTGAAATTCTATAGCGTAACCTCGTGACACGACCTCCAACGCCCAGGCATCTGCCAGTGTCTCTGTCCATGCCTGTGCAAAGTGTAGAAGGCGTGCTCCCACCGGCAAGTGAAGGTAGTCAATTCTGCTTTGGCTTTGCGTCTCTCGCACCTCTATCACTCCGTGTGAAATTGACTCTCTGGAACCGAGAGGGGAAAGATCCCCGTCTGTTGTTCTGTTTGTTGGATTCCCAAGCTGGTCTCCTGAAGTCTTGGCGGAAACGTGGCAAGGAGTGATGGGACCGAAAGGACTGAGGTGTCCGTCTGTCTGAGGTTCTCAATGATCGAGGCATGGCCTTCTTTTTGTCTCTTGTTTCCACTAGGATGTTATCAAGAGCTTCCCCAAATAGCCGGTCTCCTTGAAAAGGATACGCCGTGACAATGGATTTGGAAAGTGCATCGGCCTGCCAGGCCCGTAGCCAGAGGAGTCTTCTGGCAACGGCTGTAGACGCGAGACCCTTAGAAGCGAAGGAGATAATATCCAGCGTTGCATCCGCGGTGAAGGAGTCCGACTTAAGCGTGCGGGATAGTCCTTCCAGCAGTGCCCTGCTGTCTTCAGGGATGAGCTGGATTAACTTTCGTAGCCATACAATAGACGCTCTGGCGGCGATAGACGCGGTCGACGCTGCTCTTACCATCATGGCGAATGATTCGTGCACTCTACGAAGTGTAGTCTCCAGTCTCTTATCTGTAGCTTCTCTCAGGGTACCCAGTCCGTCCTCAGAGACTAGACCAGCTGTCTGCAGCGCCGCCACCGGGGCATCTACCGGGGAAACCTGCAAGAGCTCATTTGCATAGTTAGGTACAGCATACAGTTTTTTGGTGAATGAAGGAAACTGTTTATTTATTACTGGTTTATCCCAACTAGCTGTCAATTGACGTTCAAAGTATTCAGGGAAGGGGAAAACCTTGTCTGAGTACTCTTCTGGAGGAAAGAATTCCCTATTGCCACCAGATTTAGAACGGATCTTTGCTCTGGCAGTCTTTTGGTATTCAGACGCTGGAACGTCATGAAGCTCTAGAGCTTTAACGGCCTTTGTTAACAGATATTGGTAGTCCTCTGGTTTGAAGAACCGACTGGACTGCTCGGGTAATGGTAGCTCCTCCACTTCATCATCCGACAAAAATTCCCCTTCCTCTCTGCCCTCTATAGAGGATGCGTTAGACTCAGAGTCTTCCCCCCCACATTCATCGGCAAATCTTCCAGGGGTCTGGAAGGGAGCTTTCTTTGCTGCCTTGGTGGGCCAACCCTGCGTTCTGGGGGTGGAAGGACCTGGGGGGGGACGTTCCTGAGCCTCTGCCCGCTCTGGCCTGGAAACCTTGGCCACCTCAGCTTCAATTGAGTGCCTAATAAATTCCATTAACTCCGACGGATCTACCAAGACCGCTGAGTTTGGGGGCTTACCAGACTCCACCTCGGTTTGGAGGTTGTGCTCCGTCTCTGCCGATCCCAGTAAGCGCGATGTATTGCTGCCCGTCGGCACCGGAGCTGCCCCCGTCGAGGATCCAGGGCCCGAAGCCGGATCCTCAAGATGGCCGCCGCTCGTCCTAGGACGCGGTAGAAGAAAGGCGGGCTCGTCTCTATCCGGCTGCAGGCGGCGTTTCTGGGCGCTACGCGCCGCCGTCGCTCCCGCTGCAGCCTCCGTTGTAGGCGCACGATCAAGCCGCGAGAGCTGATCGGGCCCGCTGGTGCTTCGCTTGGCCGCAGCCGCGGCTTGATAGTCTCCCTCGTCGCCCGAGGAAAAGCTCTCGGGAATCTCCTTTGCCGCCATTATCGATCGAAGGCTGTCCTTGGCCGAGAAGACGGCTGAGGCAATCTTCGTCCCGATGGGACAGAGAAACAGGCGGAAATCAAGGTAAGAAACGGAGAAGGAGGAAAGTAAAGACGTGAGGGCAAGATCAGGCTAAAAGAGAAGGAAGGATTAAGAATTTACACGTAAAAGTGGTAGAGTAAGCTAAGGATTGCTGCTACTCCCTAGTGAGGCAGGAACAGAACTAAGGAGAGGCTATTCCGAAGGCGCCAACAGGAAAGGGAAAAAAAACTTCTTCCTGCCTCCCTATTGGCACGGTGGGAATAACCCATGCAGATGTCCTCCGACTCAGAGGGAGAATGACTCAACTAAGGCAGTATAGTCAGCTAAGTTACCTGAAACTCCCTTTCTGATCAACTACAAAGTTGCCCTGATTGGGAAAACATTTTTTAAACAAATTTTATTTACAATACAAGCCTCTCAAAAGGACCAGGCTTCATGTGATTTCAGAGTTACCAGATAAGTGGTTGGTTTTATACTTTTTATCTGACTGGAATCCTTACATTACCAATCAAATTGCTAAGCATTTTCTAGCTGCTATGAGGATCCATTGGTTGGCTGTACATGATAATGAATAATTTTATCTCTATTTTATTTAAGTTTATGACCATTTATCATTGTGCTTTCCGATGTGTATATCTGTGCTAACTGGCTATGTAGTATTTTAGATCGTTTAGTGGTTCTAACATAACCCACAGGTTATGTGGGAAGACTAGTCTACTTGAGTCCCTGGAGAACTCCTCAGAGCAGACAGTACCAACCTGCACTGACCAATGGTCCGACTCAGTATAAAGACAGCTTCATGTGTTCATGTAAATTATATAGGTTCCATAACACAAATGTATAAAACCTCATATTTTTATCTCCTCTCCCAACCCATTTGGGAAGTCTTAGTTTGATTACAAAAGGGACTCTCTCTCACTAAAATTCTTTGAACAAGACTGGACTTCTTATTGTTATTGTAATATAACTTTTACCATCACTTCATAATGGAAAGGGATTCAGAACAATGAGTTAAGAAATCACGTTTGGCTGTCCTGTAAGAAAACCTGGTAATGAGAACTGGAAAAATCTAGCCAGGTAGCAACAGGATACTATCCTTCTTCTCATTCATAATATTACTTTAGCAATTTTCCAGGATATTAGCAAATTAACACTGGAAACAGGTTTATTTCACTTTATTTTTTAAATGTCTAGCCCACCACAAGGGTTAACTATAATATATTAAACTATATTAAAATACAATCTATATTATTATGTATTAAAATACTATATTAAAATACCATCTTATATTACAATACAATCTTAAACATATACAGAACAAGGCTTAATCAACTTGAATTTCCATCTCAAATACTGAATACAGGAGATTTTTTTCTTGCCTAATTGTCTCTTATCATCTGCATAACCTTGGATCCAACCGGTTTCCCTACTGGTGAGAATGTTAATTGTCCCCACTGACCACCCAAAAACCCTATCCTGGGAATGATGAGACCTGTATGGAGAGATGCCACGAGCGAAGGGGCAGTAAGAAACAGGGAAATTATACAAGACTGAGTGAAAAAGCTCATTGGATCCAATTCCATACCTTGTACAATTTGTAAGAAAAGGTACAGATAATATGATTACATTTCACATTTCAAATCAAGTTGCCCCATTGAGCTTTATAGAAATATCATTATAAAATACCAGTACATTATTTAATAGGCATCTGAAACACATATGTTCCTAAATAATGAAAAACTACAGAAGCACTAATTAATCTTTTTTTTAGTTGTCTGTTGCAATAGTCACAAGCGACACAGAGAATTCAATAAATACCTCCCATCATGAACAGCTATTACACAGTTCACTTTTCAAAACATTTGCTTGAGTGTCTGTCTACCCATGGCTTAGTGAATGACCTTTGAACAGCAAACTTAGCAAGTACTACTGAAGTTAAATGGGGTGGATCTGATTGATAATCTGTACTAAACCCATGGCAGCACTCTAACAACATTATTACCCCTTCTTACAGTAAATGTGATATTCCCATGTCTATTAGTGGGGCTGTGAAATGGGGCCATGCACAAATAAGATAAGAGTTGCTATGCACTTGGGTGACTCCACAGCAATGCGGAAAAGTATTAGCCTGTAAACTGGAAAAAAGGTCCTTCCCCTAAAACAGCCTCATGAACACTACACATGATCACAGCCCTCCAAGAGTCATGGAATGTTAAGGACAGTTCAAAATCAGTTAAAGCAGACAAAAGATAAAAGAGAACAAGAGAGGAAAGATGGGGAAACTGGCCTGACTGATCACTTAACCATAATAATAGCCTGGGAGGAAAGAATAGGGTCTGCGGATGCATTTTGTGAGTGTACATTCCCTCCAGTCCTAATTCCACCCCAGGCCTGATCATACTGCTGTAAGATTAAGGGTTTGGAGCACATTAAAGATAGAACATCTTGGTAGAGTGATTAATTAGGAATAAAATAAAAGCAGTTACTCAAATTCTAAGGAATTTCATACATCTCTGGGGCTTTATTGACAGCTTGTAGCATCCTGTAATAGGGTGGGTAAAGTCAGGGTGAGGGGATGCATATTGCATTCCTCAACACAGATTTCTTCTGTCAATCTCCCCATAAGTATGTGTGTGTGTCTGTATCCTGTATTGTACCATTAAAGAAACAATCAGAATAGAGCCACTACAGGCTCAGGCACTGAGGAGCAGGGCACTATTCTATCCCCAGAGTTCAGCTATTTTCTGCTATTAAGATGGCAGTAGATTTCCTAAACAGAATGATCCCTTACTGTGCATCAAAGACCCTCAGTTTATACTCATACAATAAACACATTTAAAAAACAACAACACACCCTTCAGTTCTATGCACTCTTTAAGTCAATGGAACTTTTCCCCAAGCAAATATAAGGATGTCAATGCTTAATGATTTTTCATTTCAGAAATGTAAATGGACAAGCTTTTAACAGCAGCGGTCAGTAGGGACATTGTAGATCAGCTGAAGGTCACATTTAGGGAGCCCTGCACAAAGTGTTCCTTAGAGGAAGCCCTCTGCATGTGCTCCCACTATTCAAGGCTAGACAAGCAGTTGTGAGGATCAGGGCCTTCTCTGTAGCAGCCCTTCCTTCTCCATGTCCAGCATCCTTTTCATAATACACTCATTTTTCATAATATATTTCCTCTGAAGCCAGGCTGGTTGAAATAAGTTAGCCTTTCCCCCCCTTCCTTATGCAGCCTTATGCAAACCCTTCAGAATTATTCAGAGAGACAAAGGCCCCGGTCACACTGCAGGAAAAGCCGGAGCGGAAGTGCGGCTTTTTAGAGCTGCAGCAAAAGAGAAGCGTGGCAGCAGGATCAGACAGATCCCTCGAGCTGCCGTGCATATGCTCCCCAGTGTGATGAGATGCGAGGGGGAAGCCACGGACAGGAGAGCGAGGCGAGGCAGCTGTGCATGTGTGTGCCTGCGCAGTTCGGCAGGGGGCCTCGCATGCTGCGGGAGACGGGCGCGTCAGCGATCACACGGCCGCCCATGCAGCGGATTTTCCGGTAGGTAGTAGTGCTTTGCAGGTTTATTTTAACTCCACATCTTCGGCCGGAAGAGACGGATTGGGGACGGGTGCGCGCTGCTTCCCAGATGTTGCAGTGTGATCGCCCCCGATCCGTCCTTCTTGCGGATCAAATCCTCCCATGTGACCGGGGCCAAAGATGATTAATAATGCAAACATACTCACCTGAAGTGGCTTATCTGGTTTTCTAAAAGAGAAGCAAGCCTTTCCTTAATATCTTCAAACCTCTCTTTTTCTTCAATGGTGACTGTTCCAATTCCGTCAGGCCTAAAATTTACAGATGAAAAACAACTTTTTGCCCTTTTACAGAAGTAATCTCCAATTATGTCCGCTTATTATATCACAAGTTTTCTTTACCAACTGAAGAAAACCTTCTGCGTATACAAGTGATATTTGTAAACTCCCTTTTCACATGATAATTCCAATATTAAAAAGATGTTTGTTAATCTTGATGTATATATTTCAATAAAATATATTTTAAAAAGGAATGACAGGAATAAAAGCTATATCAAATTAACATACTTACTGCCACCTTGGTGTCTCTTTGAGATGAATGGCAGGGCAGAAATATTAAATAAATCAAACCAATTATTGTACCATACAGGTGGGTGAGGGCCAATAAACTGATGCTCAATTCAGACAAAACTCTCGTGCTGTTGGTCAATGACAAAGCTAATTATGCTGAAAGATCTGAGTTGGTTGCCCATCTATTTCTTGGGACACTTCAAAGAGCTGGTTCTTACTTTTAAGAACCCAAGCAAGCTTAGAACTAGGTTAGCTGAAAGACCTCCTCCTCCTGTACTACCAGCTAAAATCCTCTTCACAAATCCTTCTATGCCCTGCTTTGCAGAGGGTAGGTAGGTGGCAATACACACAATTACTTATGGACAAAGCACAACAGGTAGAAGTGAATGCAGTTAGTACCTCCTTTTAACTTAAAGTCCCATTCCTACTCACTGGGATACCATCCACCTAACACAGCTAATATACAATGGCAGCACTGTGTTGTGTATCTAAATGCATTTCATATTGGTTTATTAAAATGTTACCCAAGCAAGATTTGTTTGAATACCCTTCCAACACAACATCAGCTGTGAACCAAACCTCTGCAGGACTTCCAGGTATACAAAGGTCTGTGTTCAGACTTTATTCTACTCTAATGTTAGGGAATCCACAGGTGGATTCAAATTCATACACGGAACATCTTGCTAAAGAGGATAGGGCAACCTTTGGTTGCACAGAATTTGTAAATGCATTAGAACATCCGAATGTACACCTAAAGCTGGATTTGGGGATCTGGGACACGAGCCTTGGGAGTCACCAGGCTTGGAGTGCACCTATCAGGGACTATCTATATAAGCAGGGCCAGCAATATTGCCAGGGCTGGGGAGGAGCCTGACATCTTGCGAGAGGCTGGGAGTTTCCACTGGACATGCATGGCTTAATCTGCACTGTGAAAAGGGGTTAGGAAGGTAGACCGAGGATACAAAGACTAACTTACAGATTGCTGCCAACAGCCAAGGAAGCCCCCTGGACTGAGGCCAAAGCCAAGGGGCATCAGCAGAGCCAACTCATCCACCAACAAATCTAAATCATGTAGTCTAATCACATTAACTTGCTATTGTGCCATTTCTCAGCAAACTCTCATTGAATATATCAACAACAGCAGATAAGTGCTAGGCTTTGTGTTGTCCCACCCCTGAAGTCTGTGTCTAAGTCTATCAGATAATGTTATGTAAATACCTTAAACGGTACAATCTGCAATTCTTTACTTGCTTGCTTTTTGGCAAACTCTTTTGTCTATTCCCTGATATCTCAGTCTCAGGCTGAAAGGGTAACAGGGACCACTGTAGTATACAGAAACCACAACAATTGGCTGCACTATTGCAAAAGGTATATGGAATATCTATATTACTTGTTCTCTTAGTTATGATTTAACAATATATTAGTGAATCCAAAACTATGGAATTAACCTGAATATTAAAATGTACAATATTCCTGGGTTCCCTCAGTTAAAAATCAGTACATAGTACACTGCAACTAGCTCAACTGGGACCTGATGGGAGTCAAAAAGCCTCCTCTCTTAAACGCATTCAAGCAGGCACACCCATCTATATAGAAATGTAGGGAAGGGGTGGGGAAGTCAGTTATACTTCAATATGATGTATTTGAAGCTTCCCTGCTGCATACATCAGAAGTGATGAATTTAAAGGATGTACAGAGTTGGTGAAGGTCTCTATCCATGGTAGAGACTCCCCACTATTGCTGAAAAATACTGTTTCCATGCATTTACATTTTAACAAAAAACTGCCCAGTTTACAAAACGCAACAGTAATAATGAGCTACAAGGGAAGTACTCTGTGGCTATTAATCATATGGAAAACACCCTTCTACTACACCACTTTCTTAAGCTCCTGAGGGCTGAGCATGATAGTCGTATGGAGGCACAGCTCTCAGTTAGCCAAGAACCAATGGTTGGGTGGATGAAGGGAACTGAACAGACTACTGCTGCCAGCAGTCCAGGGACAAAGGGTGGAATGAATTTGCTCCATGCCATCCAACCTGTCTTCAATCTTGAATCTATAATGGGTGGGGGGAGGAGGAAGCTACTAGCATCTTGATTTCACAGGATGTACACGGCTTGCCAGCTTAAACCCAACAAAACCCTCATCTCTGGCTCTGAGGGGATCCTGAGAGGACTTGCACCACATCCCAAGTGGAGCAAGAATACATGATGGCCTCTCAAGAGTACTTTCACCCACCAAAGGGCAAGATGAGATCATGGAGGAGAATCTCCCTACATTCCTTCTTTCTTTTCTCCACCCTCAAATCCCTCATGGTTTCCTACCTTTTGTTACTATGGGCCAAGCTACATGGGACAGCATCCTTGGGACCAACCCAAGGACACCACCACTATTTTAAAGCCTAATGTGGGTAAGTGAAAAATGCTGCAAGCGTCCAATCAGCGTGGCGGGATGAGGCACTCTTGTCCCTCCTCATGCCTTTTCAAGTGCTGAAAGAGCTGAGGGGATGCCGTCACATCTATAATATTCTAACAGTGAAGTGTGGGCCAATCTGTGGACACCAAAATCCGTGAATCAGGCACCCATGAACAGAAAACAAACAGTTCTGCAAATCTAGGGACAATAAGCAAAAAATAAATAAATCTGAAAATTCTAGGCTCTTTACCTGCAACTGCAAATGCAGCAGCTTTCAGCGGCCCTGCCACAGTGGGGAGAGAAAGGAGGAGGGATGGTCTAAGAAGGGTTGGGAGAAGGGAGAGTGTGTGAGATTGACATAGAAGGGATGAGGGGAGAAAGAAGGGGGCTGAAGAAAGACTGACATAAAGGTTGGGGCAGAAAGACGGGGAGGCATTAACAGAGAAGGGGGAGAAGGAAGGAAACAAAGGTTGAATGCCCTTCCCTGCAAGTTCCTTATGGGTCCCATCTTGTACAGAAGCTAATTCCAGAATTCCATCTCAATATTCTGCAAACTGTAGCCAGATCACGAAACAGAACCCAGCATAGGTTTACATGGATTGGAACAGGTTCAATCTTTTATTGCTGGGCAGAGGGTATGTTTCGCATCCCCATGTACACCTCTCTACTTTCTCCTGTAAGTGAATGGCTGCCATTCATCCATGTGGGAAAAAAGTAAAGCACTGACTTGGGAACAACACTGCAGCAGGAACAAAAATTAGCTCACTATCACTGACACTGGGTGCTCAGACACCACTACCAGGGATACCATGAGGGAGGGGAGAGGAAATCTTCATGAGAGGTTCCCTCCCTCTCAAGTTAGCAATTATTTGGAATTCAGCTCTTCTGCTTTGAAGAATGGGTATAGTGAGAGGAACTGAGTAGGAAAAAACAGAAACCCTCCAGCACTCTCTTTTCTTCCATATTTCAAACTCAACAAGCTTTTGAGTAGTAGTAATCATGAGGATTCCCTAATCATGAATTTCTGGTCTCAGGAGAGCATTCGCTGTCTGAGTGTAGAATTTTGTGTCATTCAAGAATTTTAGTGGGGGGAGGGTCTTTCAAAATTTTTAGTAGGTACTGCAAGGCCATTTTATTTGCCAGAGCATTTAGTGGTGTATAGACGGCAATTATTGTTTATGAGTGAAGGGGTTATTTGGAGTTTTATTTTATTCTGCATGTTTTATATTGTGACCTTTAAGCTATGAGGAAAGGTAGGATATAAATATTTTATAAATAAAAGTACCTCAGTAATCTTCACAACAACCCTATTAAGGTAGACCAGTTATTAACCTCATAACACTGATGAATACTCAGGATAAGAGAACAGCAGCTTGGTTAGGACCACCTTGAGAGATGAGCTCAGAACCGAACTTATACTATTGTCCAGGTACCTATAGTGTACTCTGCTGTAAACAGAGGATATAGTTCTGAGTTTCTAATAATATTAATACTGTCAAAAGGGTCAGGAAAGATTAACCAGATGAAATATAATCTGAATATTTTAGCTATCGTGAACAAAGCATAAGACATCATTTGGTTATGACTTAATTTGCTACACGAATAAGCACACAAGCATTTCCCCTCTTCTCTCGAATAATTTCTACTTGTGACCTGTCAGGTGAGAGAGTTAAACATGCTTTCATCTTTAAAAAATAATTTCAAGGACAGCAATAACATCAGATACAGCAAAGATATGTACATCAATAGTCTCTTTTATAAATGTAAAGTGAAAGTATGGTAAGTTCTCTTATCTCTTCCAATGAATGCCATGACACTTTACCTCAGATGGAACGTGCTTAAATTCAAGCACATTTCTCTGTCTGATTTGATTGTCAGGAGAGATTGCACTCTGCAGTAATAAAGCAAATAAGTCTGTCATATTAAGCTTCACTAGGGCATGTCATGTGCATGACAGGAGAGTGCCAGAGGACCTGATGATGACAAGTGAGAAAGGTGAGCCAGGAGAATGTCACCATCTGTCAACCTGAACTAAGAAAAGAATTGCTACGTCCACACAGGAGATCTTGCTACCTGTCATGTCACTACCTGGGTTTTGTTGTCATACAAAATTCTACTGACAACACCTATGACTTCAGAATAACTTGATCCATTTGCAGAGGTTATGCAGTGTCCTCGACAGAGACATCTAGAGAGGATGGCATGGTAGGAAACCAGCAGGAACCAATTCTCAAATGAAACATATGAATCTTGCCCAGGGTGAAAGGTACATTTTCTATTCTAGACTTGTGAGGCATAACGTTTAATGTGGTACTTCCAAGGGGATTC